TTCCACTTCTTCCTGCTGCAGCACTTGGAGGTAAACTCTCTGTGCCACTCTGGCAAGATGTTCTGTTCCTGAATCAGATGGGTGGATCTTGCCTCTAGCCTCTTTGCAGGGAGTTCTGCTGAAGGGTTCCACGCTGGGCCTGCATTCTGGGTTGAATGAGGATTCCGTGGGCCTGGGTGGTCTCACACACATGCCGGGCCTTTGCTCTGGGTTGAACGAGGATTCAGTGGGCCCAGGTGGTCTCACTCACACACTGGGCCTGGGCTCTGGGTTGAATGAGGATCCAGTCAGCCCCGAGTCATTATTATAATTTTTTAAAACCAATGTTGCATGTTTTTTTACTGGCATTCCAAACAACTATTTTGAGACAACATTGTGCTATATAACAGCAATTGTTGAATCTCTATTGTTTTGTTTGTTGAACTGCATTGTTTCTAATTTTTTAAAAACAATTTTTAGTCTCTTTAAAAAGTAAAGAAATAAAACTTGAAAACAATTGTTTGTGTGTGGTGTGTGAAAATTTGAATTTGATCTTAATTCCTTTGCTTAATAGTACTAAGAAATAATACCAGTTTCTTCATTTTTAAAAAATAATTATGGGCCAGCCAGATAGCTCAGCGGACTAAAGTGCCTGCTAAGGCAGAGCACAGTGCCCAGGGTTTGATCCTACCCCCAAGTGCCATGCCCCGCCCCCCAGCACACTGAGACGGCAATTGAGACAGGACATGGTGGTGCACACCTGTAATCTCAGCGCTTGGGAGGCTGAAAACAGGAGAATCAGTCTGAGTCCAATCTGTGTAGTGAGATCCTGTAGACCCTGCAGTAAATACATAAAAGAATTATATTTCCTATTAACACGCTTTCATTTTCTTTACTGAAAATGATGAGATTGAGAGGTAATGTGTGAGATAGCCTCTCATGCAGCTGTTTTCACTGTGACTTTCCTGGTGACTACTTCTTCCTCTTCTTCTTCTCCTTCTCCTTCTCCTTCTCCTTCTCCTTCTCCTTCTCCTTCTCCTTCTCCTCCTCTTCCTCCTCCTCCTCCTCCTCCTCCTTCTTCTTTCTTCTTTCTTCTTTCTTCTTCTTCTTCTTCCTTTTTGCTCTGAATGCCTTCAGGGCAGGTTTGGCTGGCTTAAGTTGTGGGGATCTAACCACAGCAACCTGAGCCTGACTGCTTTGTTGAAGCAGCCACTTAAAGAACTGAGCTAAGGGGCAGGCCCCCCACCCCCCGTGCCTTCTTGTATCCATCTGTATTCTGCCTTTGCCTGGACCCAGATTGTGCCTTGCATTTCTCTATGCATCATTGAGTCTGGCAGGGCAGTGGCAGAGCTGCAGTTCCATCACCAGGGACAACAAGTAGAGTCCACAGAGTGTAGTAAGGAGATGCAACTATCTGCAAATCTGGAAGCAAATTCTGATTCAAATCAATGATTCAACAGCCCAGATCAAGTCAGTATTCTGGGACAAAACCTGTGCAGAGTTCAGAGTGTGGCATTTGTGCTCCACACAAGTGGGCAGTGCATTATCTTTGTGCTTCCTGTGGCTCAGTAGGCAAACCAGGGAGCAGCCTTGCATCAGTGAAGAAGAGTATGCACAGCATGAACAGCCAAATCATATGTGCTGGACAGAGGATAGACTCCCTCTCTGTCAGGCACTTCAGTCAGAAGCCCCCAATGTGGGTCTGAGAGATGCCCTCGCTGGCTCAGCCTGGCTTGCTCTGCAGCTTGTACTGACCGGTTGCCTGGGAAGGACCTGGGAGACCTCACTGCCCCAGAAAGTGCTTTTGCAGGACCAGATGAACAAACACAGGGGTACAATTTTTGTTGGAGGCATAATTTCTAGTTGGAAGTGGACAGAACTAGGGTTGGCAGGAATTGAGGCTCCCTACATCAGTGGAGAAATCTCTGTTCTTGTGTCATCTGTTGGGGTGCACATTGGTATTTTCTGACTCTTGGGGTGAGGCTGAGGCTTCTGCAGGAACTAAGTACCCTTAGGAGAAGGGAGGCAATTGCACTGCGGTGGGAGCCCTGACTTTCCCAGCTCCATGCCTGCAGCCCTGCTTCTTTTTTTTTTTTTTTTGCATTTAATATGAAACTTTATTAAGGAGCATGTTGGTTAATAAATGATAGTACAAAAAGGAAAGACGAGCATGGTTAATCAAGATGTCATATGATTTTAAAGTTCATTTAGCAAACAATTACTCCTGCTTCAATGAAAACCAGTGGGCTGTGTCGTAAGTCAATTTCCAGGTGAGGCAAAGCAAATGCCACTGATGTCTCCTTATGCAGCTTTAATATAGACTAAGTTAAACAGCCCAAATAACACAATTAATGCCTAAAAATGAGTTTTCAAACTACTTTTGTTTATAGAGAATAACAAATAAAAAACATCAAAAATTATACAGAATTTCAAAACAAGATGATAGGGAATCAACAATAGTTTTTATTTTTACTAATTTCACTGAGAAAGAAATAGACAGTTTCAAAACAGATTAGTAGGATAGAGACAATAATTAATACATTGCATATTGTTGTCTTCATAGTAGTTATTCAGAGTACAAGATACAGACATGATATCTTGTCTAAACACTATTAGTACAAATTTTTCTTCTCATTGAACTAAGAGAATGTAGATACATATCTATCCTATTTTGTATATCCAGATATATAAATATATTTTCACTACAAAATTTTCCTTCATTTATATTCCGTTTTTTTGTTAGTTGTGTCAGAGATGGGTTGCAGCCCTGCTTCTTACCAAGCTGTGCAGTGAGCAGGAAGGTTGAGGGGAGACTTGGCTTGGGTGAGGTTGCTGTGTACATGAGACAGGGCTGTGCTTTTTTTTTTTTTTTTTAACCCAGGAACACACAAAGTATAGTTTTTATCTGACCACCCACTAAATGTGTCCTAACTGTGAAAACGAAATGGTCTCTTGGGCCCTGTCTCGAGTGGATGCATTCACTGAGGAGTTCAGTACCAGAATGCACTTGTAGGATGTGGGGGTTTTTGGAAAGAAGTCACTAGGTTCACAGCCAAGAAAAGTAGGTTCTTGTCTGTCCTAGACATACCTTTACCTTCTCATTGCTATGGTATGTGGATCATTTTTTTTTTTTTTTTTTTTTTTCTTTATCTTCCAGTTTTTATCTTGGAACCAAGAGAAGGGGAAGTGATACTGTGAGAAAATATAAACCCTGCTCCTTTCAGTTGAGGTTGTTGGATGGTTGGTCTCAGTTAAGGAAAGCAGCTAAGATATCGAACTATGCTAAATTTGTTAGAAGTTTAAATTTGAGATCTGAAGAACACAAATTGTATCCTCCACTCTGGGCTTAATTGTCATAATGATAAATTCCAAAAGTACCAAACACATTTTATCTATTCCAAAGGCTTAGAATCTTTTTTTTTAAATGTATTTTTTTTTTTTTTTTTAGTACAGGGTCTACACTGTCTCACTACACAGACTGGACTCGTGGTGATCCTCTTGTTTTCAACCTCCCAAAACTGGGATTATAGGTGCGCAGCACCATGTCCAGTCCCAGTGCCCCCCCCCCCCCCAGGGGGTGGACCTGTCACACGGCACTCCAGGGATTGAAACCTGGTCACCACACCTGCCTAAGCAGGCACTTTAGTCTGCTGAGCTATCTGGATGGTTCCCCATAGTCATACGATCTTTACAAATCACATATAAATTGGAAAAAAAAAGGTTAACATTGCCTGCGCTGAAAATCAAGTGTTAGGGTACTTGCCAAGACATATCAGGAGCAATGCAATAAATGAATAAAGGAATCAATAAATGAGCTTTTGCATTTTATAATACCAAAAGTTAGATTAAATGTTACCAAGTTTTTAAATTTATTACAGCACCAGGGATTGAACTCAGGATCTTGTGCTTGCCAGGCAAGCGCTTATTCTACTGAACTATCTCCCCAGATCCAGCCAATTTAAAACAGGGAATATGAAAGTCCTGCTGTAAGGGGCAGCATGCTGAAGGGGCCGTCTGTTAAACGCACACCTGTTACACTTCTTGAAGTAGGCACTCACACGTCCATGCGGTTCATGTATGAGTGCAGAGAAACACCCCACTGCTCACATAATTGCTGTAGTTCACCAATACCTCACAGACAGTGTTCCAAATGGACATGCTGGATGAGGTAGGACTTTGATTGACAACAGTATCACACCGGGGAAAAGAAGAAATTTTAGGTGGACATGCATCAGTGGAAAACACAAAAGGGATTTTTTTTATGGAAAAAAGGAGGAACAGATACGAAGTGGAAAAGTAGGGGGTAATAGAGGTAGCCAGGTAGATCTGAACCAGTGGTTTCTCTGAGGATATTTTTAGTGTGACAATAAATAAGTTGTGATATGCTGGCTCAATTTACATTTAGTACAATTTAGCCATGTTCTGCTCCTTATCCTGAATTCAAGGTGACCATTTGGTGTCACTGAGCTATAAGATTATATGTCACTCTTCCCCCTTTTTCATTGCCCATAGACTTGATCTTATATAGTAGTTTTAATTTGCATTTTAATTATTCATTGTTTAATGTTCAGTGAATTTATTTCTATGAACCCAAATTCAACTTTCCAAGTGCTGCCTGGATACAAAACAATCAAATAGAAGGACTCAGTTATATGAACAATAAGTTTTGAAAGAGGATGTAATCTGTCATCTGTCAGAATCAATCATTAGATACTTATCTGCTCCTGTACTTTGTGGGTGATGATTTGTGGGCTCCCTCTATGAGCTCTGCTATACAGACAGTGCAAAACTACAATGTGGGTGACCTGCAGGGCAATCAGTGCTATTATTCTGCAGTTGCTTTAGCAATGAGTTGCAACCTAGCATAAAAATTGCTGTGTGCATACACAGGGGTTTGGGGACCAAGACATGGAGTTCAGAGTTGAAGGCATCAACCTCAGTTTAGCTTTTTATGAGAGGAGTTGAGATATCTCAGGGTGTGCATCTCCACCTTCTTTGAAGAAACATGCATGTTTGTTTAGGAGGCAGTGACATTTGAGGATGTAACTGTGAACTTCACCAAGGAGGAGTGGGCTCTGCTGACTCCATCCCAAAAGAAGCTCTACAGAGATGTGATGCAGGAAACATTTAGGAATATGACTGCTGTAGGTAAGGATGACATCATTTTCTCATGTATACAATCAAAGGGCATTGAGGCAGTTTAATTATATAGAATGTTGCAACACTGAAGAACATCAGGAATGCTTAAGTATTTTAATGACTCCACCTGGCAATGGAGAATTTTAGATAATAATATAGTGCCATTTTTATTTTTGTGACTACAGCTCCAGAAGATCCTGGAATAACCAGCAATTTGATGAAAAACAAAACAAAACAAAGATACCTCAAGAAATCTAGGGTAATTTGCACTAGAAGGAAAAGGATAATCCTGAAGAGTCAGTATATGAGCAGAAATGTTTCATCTGAGGAGTCTGTTCAAATGGGCCATATTCAAATTTATTTAATCTTACAAATCTTCCATAGAGATGCACACAGGCCAATTTTGTATAACCTGTCAGCTGAATACAGAAATACTCTAATATAGGAAGCTGACTTAGTGCTGATATGCAACAAATGACACTATCAGTATAAAAATTCTTTCATGATCAACATCATGAAAATGTAGGAGATTACATTTAGATATTATATATAGGCTTATGTGAAAAGAATAAATTTTGAAATTTGACAGAAACTCATCTTCTAGGTATCTATGTATATATGTGAATGAGCAATATTTATTAGATAATGAATCCCTAAACTGAAAGAAGTATTCAAAATGCAAATGAATGGTAGCATTGTAATGCATACTCCAGAGCACTGAGTCCATTCATGAAAAAAGCACCCTTGAATATTATTGGTAGGAATGTAAAATAAATAATTACAATAATCAATATGAAGATGTCTCCAAAAGTAAAAATAGAAGTTTCCATTTGATCCAGGCGTACCTTCCTGGGTGTGTTCTCAAAAGTTTTAGTGATCCATGCATACCTATGCTCAGCGCAGTTTGTGCACGCGTATTCACAATAGCCATTGTCTGGAAGCAGTTCACCATCTCTAATCTCTGGAAATAGCCTAGATGCCTATCATTGGATGCTTGGATTAAAAATGTCCGGGACAGGTGCAACTTGATTCACTCTTGTAATCCCAGTACTCCGAGAAGCCAGGTCAGCAGGATGACATCTTAAATTCAGCTGGAGCAAATTAATGATTAATGAGAATCTCTTTTAAAATAAATAAAAAAGTTGAAAATATTCAATGCTAAGACCTATGTTGCATTCTCAGCAGTAAAAAAAGTGTGCTATATGTTCAGCTGGCAATGGAAATAAATGATATTATATCATTTACCAAAAAAAATAGATGAGATTTAATCCTGTAATGTTGTGAAATAAGTCAGACAGAGAAAGTGAATTATCACATTTTCTCTTATGTATTAAACCAGAAATGTAAACCAAGGAGTGAAATAAAGGCGAGGTGATAGAAAACAGAATGCCTAACTTGTTGGATGTGGGAATCATAGAAGAAATGACAAGGGTCAGGACAGAAGGGGAGAGTGATGGAGGAAAACATCAGACATTATCAGTGTGTGATACACACAGGTACAAGTCCTTTGAAATGAAGCTAGACTTTCTGTATTGCAAGTGTACACCAATTAAAAATTCCCTGATGAAAACAACCTTTTTGAGAATGAATGTTTTGGACACATCATTCAAGGCATTAAATCAATTTCTCAAAACTTTTTATCTTTTTTTTGTGGTACTGATGATCAAACTCAGGACTTTGTGCTTTCCAGGCATGTGCTTATGCTGCTGAGCTATCTCTCCATCCCCCAATATTTTTTTTATGGTGAATCAAAGCAGAACTTCTCTTCGTCAATTATTGATATGAAAAGCTTTTTATTTTTAATTTATTTTTTTGAATTTAAATTATTATTATTAGTTTTGGTACCAGAGACTGAACTCAGGACCATGTGCTTGCCAAGCAGGCACTTCAGCCACTAAGCTATCTCCCCAGTGAAGACCTCTTTATTGTAATTGGTATTTTTGTTCGTTTTTTTCCCTTCACAAGTGAAGAGGTCACAGAATGTGATCAGCATAAAAGTATCAACAGGAAGAAATATTTGTTTGGGCTCCAAATGCTAATGTGGACATGAAGCAAGCTGCTTTAAAGCCAGCTGAAATTCTCGCTTGTAGAGGGCACCTGATTGGATTATTAAGACTAAATATGTGTGTTTTACTTCACTGAGGACTGATGACAAATGAACATGTGAGATTTGATGACAACCTGAGTAACTGTAATGAATGTGGAAAAACCTGCTGTGACATCCAGTCCCTTACAAAACATGCAAGGATAAAGCCTAGAGGGAAACCCTATCTACGTGAGCAATGTGGGAAAACTTCTTCTGATCTTAGTGAAAGAACTCACCATGGAAAGAACTTTTTAGGCAGCAAAATAGTGAAAGCTTCAAGAACTTCCAATAGTGTTCAAAGCCATGAAAGAAATCAAAGTAGGGGAAATCCATATGTATGCACACAATATAGGAAAACTCATTTTTCTACCATATTCAAGTACATGAAAGAAGACATGCTGGAGAGATGCCTTCTGTATCTAAGCAATGTGTGAAAGGATTGATTAGCTAGTAGCAATAGTGTTTACAAAGATAAAAGAATTCACACTGTGGAGAAACTTTATGTATGTGAGCAATGTGGGAAAGCATTTAGTGCCCTCAGTCACTATCAAATACATAAAAGAATTCACACTGCCGAGAAACCCTATGTATGTAAACAATGTGAAAAAGCATTTGTGTAGCCCAGTTATTGCCAGGAACATGAAAAAATCAACACTGGGGAGAAACCTTACATATTTAAGCAATGTAGGAAAGCCTTCACTACACAGAGTTATTGTAATTAAGGTCAGTGAAGACTCAGGAAACAGGAGAACCCATACTGTAATATCCTGTAACTCAGTTGTGTCCCAAATTTTCTGATCAAGGAGATTATGGGGACACAGAGGACAATGATCGACGATGTAGACTGTGTGTAAGGATAGTCACATGGAGAGAAAACATTCTCTCAGGCTTTCTCAGAGAGCAAATTGGTCAAGCAATGGCCATGACTCATCCACATGGCTGACACTGACAAAGGATCTACAAACTGCAGTACAGGGTTTCAGGGTAAGTCCTGAGGGGACTTGACTGACCATGTCAGATACAAAAGTTACATTTTTTGTTATATAGGTCTTTATCTTGGTCTTAACCATCCAGCAGGAAAGTATAAAATTGAGGTATAAAAAGTAAAGCCATATTAATATGCTGAGCTGTAAAAGGCTCAAGTAACAACTTCTGACACTGCCAGTCTTGTGGATAACCCACTACTATTATAGACTGGTGGACTATATTGGATTGCTTTGCTGACTTTATGCACCTACAATATATAAATGGCAATGGAATATATATCTCTGACAAAAGTAAAAAAAAAGGATATAAATGAACCATTTTGTAGTGGAAAATATATTTATCTGTATATACAAAATAGCATAAATATACAGCTACTTTCTCTTAGTTCAATGAGAAGGAAGTTTTGAATGGTGTTTAGACAAGATATCATGTCTGCCTCTTATACTCTGAATAACTACTACAAAGACAACAATATGCAATGTATTAATTATTGTAATTGTACTACTAACCTATTTTGAAACCATCTCATTGCTGCTTCTTTTTCAATAAAATTATTAAAATATAAAAAAATAAAGTGCACATAAAGGGAAAAAAAGAAAAGAAGAAAGAAGTCATACGAGGGAAAAACCCTATGTATGAAAGCAATGTGTGAAAACATTTGGTACACACAGATATGTCAAATACATGAATTCACACTGCAGAGAAACCCTATGTATATAAGCAATGTGGAAAAACATTCATGCTATCCAGTCAATGCCAGTTTATGAAGCAATTCACACTGGGGAGAAACTTTATAAATGTAAACAATGTATGAAAGCATGCACCACACTGAGTTATTGTATATTACAAGGAAGAATTCACATGGGGGATAAACCCTACATATGTAAGCAATGTTGGAAAGCATTCACTATACAAGTTTGTTGTAAAATTCATGAAATAAAGCACACTGGGGAGAAACCCCATGTATGTAAACTGTGTGGAAAAACATTGATTATACAGTATTCTTGTAAAATTAATGACAGAAGTCACACTGGGGAAAAACCACATGTACATAAGAAATGTGGGAAAGCATTTGGCAGACACAGTTATTGTGAAAGATATGAGCGAATTCATACTAGGGAGAAACCTGATGTTTGTAAATGATGTGGAAAAGCATTTGCTACACACAGTTATTGTCAAATGCATAAAACAAACCACAGTGATGAGAAGCGTTATGTGTGTAAGCTGTGTGGTAAAGCATTCAGTACAAAGAGATGATATAAAGTACATGACAGAAATCATGGGGGGGATTATATATGTAAACAATATGGGAAAGCATTCACTACACAGATTTATAGTTGAATAAATGAAAGAACCCATACAGGTGAGAAACTTTTTATGTAAGTAATGTGGGAAAGTATTTCTTGAACATAGTTATTATAAACTACATGAAAGTAGTTACAGTGAGGAGACACCATATATTAACAATGTTGGAAATCATTCTCTACCCACAGGTATTGTAAAATACATGATTGAGGACACACTGAAGGGAAAGCCTATGTACTGAAGCAATGTGGGAAAATATTCAGCATACGTAGGTATTGTCAAATCCACGAAAGAAGTCACACTAGGGAGAAACCCTAGTACATATTTGAAAAACCTTATTTATGCAGTGGGGACATGTAGAAATAATATAAAAATTTTGATGTTACTATTTTATAGTTTCCAGAGAATGCTGAAAAACACTGCCAGATGGAGATATCGTAATGTGCATTCATTCTGTGTTTTTCAGTAAATGTAAATATCTGGGCTGTGTGTCTACATTTTACTATGAAATATTATTTATATAATCATACTTTTGTGTAAATCTGTGTCTTTAGTCTAACATATAGTGTCTGCTAATTAAACAAGGTGAATTAAAATTTAGTTTTCACTTCCAACTATAGTTAGTATTTATGTAGTTTTTATTTCATTTTGTTTTGTTTTTATAATTGGGAGGTCTTTAGGTAGCAGGCAATTAAACTTAAATTTTGTTAATTGTTGGAATTTTCCTCAAGTTTTGATTTAAATTTTGTTCAGGGCATTTGCTCCATAATTTATATAGCAAAAACTATCTTTGAATTTGATGATATGCATAGTTAAGTCTTGTGAACATGGGTTGCTAACAAAGTTCAACTGTTTTCACACATCTTGAAGATAAGCAAATGTTATATTTTTCATATCCTGACAAGATATCTGTATATATGCCAACAGAATTGTATATTAGATCAAGTACATAAGTTTGACTATTTTACTTTCAAGTTGGAGCCAATAAATATCAATATTTACATAAAATTTTATGTTCTTACCAGCAATGTTTTATATGCTTATATTGTGAAGACATAATATTGTAATGATTTTTCCATCTCATGCACCAAAAAATAAAACCTACTACAGAGATTTTCTGATTGCCAGAGGACAGCAAGATCATAACTTGTTTCTAAAGATATATCATAAAATATAATATATTTCTCCCAAAAGCATAAATGAGGACGTGATTTATCGTAACAACATTTTCAAAGGAAATTTTGTCAATTATGGAGTTGTTTTGAGGCGAGTGATTATTATGGTTGTTATGAGCTAAATTCATTTATTCTAGTCCTAAAGCGGATTGACATTGTCTTTGGTGATCATTACTGCTTTTATTTTTTATCTTATTTTATTTTATTTTTTACTGCTTTTACATAAGAAGATGAAATAAGGGTATGAAGGGAAAGAAACATTCAGTCCAAGAAAAAAGGGAAATTTACTCATTTATGATTCAGATTATGTTCTATTTTACACGAACACATTTTTACAAAGTCATTTTGCATTATTCATAGGAACAACAGTCTGATGTTTGAGATAGGTGACAAAAATAGACTTAAACAAGCAGAGAAC